GAACGCCAGGCTGCAGGGTGTGTTGGACTTGGAGAGATGCTTTCCATCACTGTTACTGCACAAAGCTCCGGCGTACCACACTGCTGGGATTTCTGTGGCTTGCCCAGTGCAATCACTAAACCTCGTTTCAGTGTCTTTCATTTCTCCAGCTCTCACTCCCGTCTTGTCAAGCTGTTTAGTGAGACAGCAAACAGAGCAAGCTGCCCATCACCACTGTCTATGTTTTGCTGCCAGGCAGAAGAATAATCCTCAGCGTCAAAGTAATGACTGCAGCAGATTCAGGAAAAACAGGAAAGAAGAAGTCTAGGTTGTCCAGTCGCTGGTACCAAAACTGTGAGCTGCCTGCATGCTCCTCTGTTGCCGTGGGCTCGCTGAGGTTATCCTGTGGCCAAGGGATGGTGGGCACAGCACAGCCCAAGGGCCACCCTGGGCACACAGCACCAGCTCACTGCTCTGTGATCTCTTAACTCCTCGACAGGCAGTGGTCTCCTGCTCCAGATCACTACACCTTCACTTCTTAATTTTGCAGCCTCTTTCTTAGCACGCAGAAGCTAGCTCTGGTTTAATACTGTAACATCAGTCTAATAATTTCCACTATATACCATGGAAGTCCCTTCCCTAGGCCGGTTCTCTGTTACCCAAGGATAACATTCATCTTGTTTACTACTGGGAGTTCAAGACACAAGATCCCAAACGCAAACTCCAAAATTACTTGTAATCCCAGGTCTCCACTCCAGGTTAGCTTTCAGGAGACACCTGTGCACATCACAGTCTTCCTACCAGCTGTGCTCTTAACTCCTGCCATACCTCACCCTTCCCCTTGCACAGGCCTGACACTTGCCCGACACCCTCCGGCTGCCCCCAGTGAGTTTGTTCAGCTCATTAGACATTAGTTGTGCCATGGGAGGTTTAGATTGGATATTTGGAAAAAATTCTTCACTGACGGCATTGTCAAGGATTGGGACAAGCTGCCCAGGGACGTGATTGCATCACCGTCACCGTGGGTATTTCAAGGACAGGTAGACAGGCTGCTGAGGGACATGGTTTATTGGCATACTTGGCACTGTTAGGTTCACAGTTGGACTTGATGATCTTAAAGGTCTTTTCCAAGGTAAATGATTCTATGTAATTTACTGTACTGTTAGATAAGACAGAGATTTTAATCTTGTCCTGCTGTAAGACCTGATTTAATCAGAATTCACTACTTCATTGAAGTACTTCTGAACTTTATTTGGGGTCACTGATTTATCTCATGACTCATTTGTTTTTTGCTCTTTGGAAGGGGTTAATATTTTCATCACATTTTAGCATGCGTATTTGAGTCAGAAACCTCACAGAAACCTATATAAACAACTTGCAAACACTCCGCCTATTAGTACACCCCACTGGGATGATATAAGGTAAGAGTTACATCGCTCACCAGATAATGCTATAGATGCCAAAGATGTATTTTATGTTATAATTTGAAGGTCCTTATTTTTCTATTATATTGGTAATTAAGTGCTAACTTAGAAACTATGCTTAAAAGTACCTTTGTGATAAGAGTATCTGTGCTGGGCTTTGCAGTTCTAGGTTATCAATGAAATTAAAATATGAAATAGAAAGAAAACATAGAAATTATAGACAATTTTGAAAGAACTGAAAGAAATCGATTTTTATAGCATTTTCAAATTTATATTATTGATAAAATAGACTTCATTCCTAGAAAGGCAGATTCTGGTCTCCTTATTTTTGCTGGTCTCCCTATTTTTTAACTTTTTCTATCTTAGTTAATGGAACCAAGAAGTAATTTTTCAAGGTGTGAATCTGAGCAGTTGTTTTTAGTTTCACATTTCAAAGCAAACCTCCAAGAAATGGTAACTATGAATGATGTGTGGGGCTGCAAAACAGCCTCATTTCTGCGTAACTGCCATCAGTCAATAACTGAGAAGGGCTCTTTGGGACCTGCTGTGATATCACTGAGATGAGAATCTATCACCAGTGCCAAGAATCCCTCAAATCCCTTTCAACATGAATCTTCTCCTCTTTGTGGGTTGAAGCGAGTCCAGGAGGAGTGGAGGGTTCTGAGGTGGGCATCCTAGTGAGTTCTAATTAATTGAATTGAACTGACTTTTATCTCACGAATTCCCATCCCAGAATTACGGGAAAAAAAATCAGCTTTAAATTCTGTATTGAGGTATTTAATTTCATCCCAACCCTTTTTTTTTTTTCCATCTAATTTGTTGAATAAATTCACTTTTTTTTTTTTGGAGTTGCTTCACAGCAAAAACATTCCCTGTGAAGCTGCAAATGAGGTGAATGGCCAGTCATTCATATGGTTGTAGTGGGGCTGTCTGGAGACTGCACACTGTCAGGAAGACAGAGATCTTGTAGCTTTTTGGTGGCTTTGAGCGTGGTGTGTGAGGGTTAACCTCTGATTTAGACAAAAGCTAGAGTAGCCTCAGATGCAGCAAAGCAGAGCTCTGAATAAGGTTTTTCTTTCCAGGCACTTCCCCAGCATGTGAAAGAGGCATCTTTTGTTCCTTCAGTTACTTGATTGTCTGTTGCCTGTTTCCAGGTAATGTGCAAACTCTGTTAATTTGCAAACTCTGTTTGGGAGATCTGCTTTATAGATAGAGAGGATAGAGCTGAAAGTGTGCCTTGGTCAATGCACAATGCACTTCTGTAGACAAGAAGAAAAGCAGGACTGATCCAGGGAGAGGATCAAGAGTAGATCAGCTGGTGGCAGGAGTAGCAGAGGTTAACAGAAAAAAATGGAACTGTCTGTGAATGAGGGAGTCTGGGGAATTAGTCGGAGATTTTCCTCTAAAAGTAGAAACGACCAGAAAAAATACCACGCAGCTCTGGTCACTTGTGGGGAGTGCCATTTCTCATCCCAAGCAGCAGTAGATCATTCAAGATTAATCAAGCTCTGAACAAGTATATGGGTTTGTGGGAAGTTCACCTTTTAACCTAATCTAATGCTAAATGTGGAATTGGTTTGAGCTGGCTGACACTTGTACCTGTATTGTACAGCCCAGGAGATGGAGATCGAGACTGCAGATGAAATTGCTATTGTGGGAATAGGATGCAACTTTCCTGGAGGTAAGTTTTGGGTAAAAGCAAAGCAGGCTGCTAAGTGATCCTTGATTTATTATCATTTATTAACGTTGAAATGGAGGAAAACAACATGTTCCTCCCTTACTTTTGTAGAATTCATTGCTTTGCTACATGTAGGATCTTCTTAAAAGGTCCTGCCGTGGTGGACACTAATTGGTTCAAATGTGTCCTCTGATGGAGGGACCTGCAGTGCTGCCTGTGGGCAGGGCATCGAGCTGCACACATGGAACTGATAGACGTGAAGTGGATGGGGGCGGGAGGATTTGAGCACTGTCTGGGTGACCGTGCGTTGTTGCAGGACTATGTGTCCATGGGGACAGGAGGGATCAAGGGCTGACAATATCACCAGCTCTGCCTGTGATACGAATAGGCTGGGTCTCACTAAAGAAGCTCTGTCTCTAGTCAGGTTCCGCTCTTACAAATACAAACCTAAATACTGCCTCTTGTACAAGGTGGGAAGCTGAATTCAGAAAAGGACTGGCATTAGCTGCAGTAATAAAAGACAGCAGCCTGTATTACAGTAGTCTCATATTCACAATCTTAGTTACAATCAGGCCCTATGACAGTGACAGATGACTTTATATTCTGAGGTTAGATGCTTGACTGAGATTAGATGGGTGGAGAAGTTCCACAATCTGGTTGTGAGAGATTTCTGGGTTCTGGCTGCTGCTGTGGAACTCTCCATGCTCTTTACATTAGATAGATGCAGATTTTAAAAATCCAGAAATAACCTAGGGCGTGGAATACAGCTCTGTCCTTGCAAGCTGAGGTTCACCCAAAAGGGATTCTCTGCCCTCAGCACATTTCAGTTCCTGGCTTCATTTTGTACAAGATTCAATAGGTGTATATGGTGCAGCAGTAACTACATGAGTGGTTCTGAATCTAGTCAAGTGCTAGTAAATACGCAGCAGCGGTCTCTTGCCTAAACATTAAATACCAGTTTGGTCAGCAAGGGACTGTTTCCAGAGTGAGTGGGGCTGCGGCCAGTACGTATCTTGGGTGAAGTGGAAGCTGGGAGGAGGAGGAGAGATGTGGGCCACTGTGTGGATGCCATGCTCATTGGTTTCAGGGCTAAGAGGTGGGCCTAGACATACCCTCAGTGCCTGGAGCTGAATCTCTGGATCTCAGCCAGGGAGGACAGGGTTCCTCACAATCAATTAGGGAGGTCTTTGCCACTGTCAGCATTGAATATACACAACACATACTTTTATGTTTGATTTAGGTGCCCTTCTAGTGCTAGGGAGCAAGGATAATGCCTCTGGCATCTTCCTGGTATTTGTATCTGTGTCTTTTTCAAAGAGCTAATGTCCAGAGATGATCTTTTGCTGCCAGTGGAGTTGGCTGAGAGTGGTGCTGTACAGATACAGAAAGACCTCATCGTACCCGTGTGGTCATTGAGGACATGGTGCATGTATATAGTAGATGCAGTGACACGGTAGGGAAATGGGGACAGCAGAAAGTTAAGGATTTTGTGGGGTTCCTTTGCTTTTAGGTAAGCAGTGAAGGGATCTGTCATGCCTTTCCGTTTTCCTCTCACCAAAGAATGACCATTTCTTTCTCTGGTGATTCTACTTGAGCAACCTAGATTAAGGAACGTTGGGAGTTCCTTGTAAGTAAGCGTGCGTGGGGAGGAGGAGCACATAACTTAATCTACTTTAAAACCTTTGTACAACAGGTGAAGGAATTGAAAATTTCTGGAAAGTCCTGGAGGAAGGCATAAACTGCACAGTAGATATCCCCCCTGAGAGATTCAATACTGAAGAGTGGTATGATCCAGATGATAACAAGCCAGGAAAAATACGTACAACGCGAGCTGCTCTTCTCAATGAGTGAGTCTGTTACTATGGGGTGCCACTGATTTTTTTGGCATTTAGACTAACAGCTCCAGCCTTTCAGAGGGTGCAAGGCACAGGGAGAGCTTATAAATAGGACTTGGGAACTGCCTTTCTTTTATCTCACATGATGAACATGCCGTTGTCAAACTGCAGGAATTTGTGGTGTGTGACACTGATGAACAACTAATGTTAGATATTGGATTTCCCGCTTAAATCAAGAAAGGACAGCAGGCCAATACAAATCTGACCTTGGAATACAAGATTAAGCCTGGGATTGGTTGTTTGTAGTAGGTTGGGCTTTCTTTCAAGACTTTTTAAAGATAAACACACACATACACATATAAAATATTTTGAATTTATTGCTAGAGAAGTATGGGTATCTCTTGGAAACATCTGAGCTGATTCTCTACTTACTGGTTTTAAAATGTAAAGCATCTGTCTGTTTGGCCTTAAATAATTTAGAAGACAATATGTTCAAAACATGTTGGCTAATATCATGTTACAGCAGAGGGAGCCTCATTCTGCAAATTTTCATAATCTGAGGAGTCCTGTTGGTACTAGTGGGGTAACCATATGAATAAAAGTTTTTAGGAGTGGGCTCATAACTCTGAAATGCAGAATAGTTGATAAAAATACGTATTTATGGTGGGACATACAGCATCCTTGGCCTATGAACATTTTCTTCTGAATTTCCTAAATGGGAACTGTGGCCTAAACACCAGTTACTGCTTTGCTTTTCATGAAATTGGAAAAAGTGCATACTTAGAGTCTCAAAGTATTGTACCATTTTCCGGTCTGTGTATTTTAGATTTAATTCGTTTGACAACCAGCTGTTTGGGATTAATGATATGGAAGCTGAACGCATGGATCCACAACAGAAGTTATTGGTGGAATGCACATACAAAGCCCTGGAGGATGCAGGAGTCCCCGTAGAAGCTATCAGTGGCACCAAAACAGGTGTTTTTATTGGTAAGATGAAAATGTCATGGTGAAGAAAGTATGTTTGAACCTCACAAAAATTGGAGCACTCCTTCATAAACTTTACATCCCTATCTAGCACTGGAGATTTAAGGCTACTGTGCTGTGACACTACTGGTTATTTTTGGTAAGGATTACTAGGCTGCCCCAGAAGTTCATGATATAATTAATGTATCTATTTAGATGTTCCTCTTAGTGTCTTCAGGCACTGAAGCCCAACTGGGAGACAGTTAAACTGTCTACCTAACCCAACCCTTCCCAGGAGTGGTACTCTCAAGCCAAGCCTACTCTTGTTTCCAGTATACTGTTTCCCAGTAGAACACCGGTTAAGGTGTTGTGGGGGTTAAGATCCTTTCAAACCAGCAGAAATCCTCATGGAGTTATTAGTATGCTACCAAGGTGGACTTGTCTAGCTGCCTACCTCAGTACCTGGAAAAGGTATAGAGAAAATTATACCGTGTGCTGTTGAAAGACATTTAAAGGGCAATGCAATCCTCAGGCACGGTCAACATGGGTTCACAACAGGAAAGCTCTATTTAATCTGATATCCTTCTACAGTAAGGTCACCCTCATCCACCCTTGTGGATGAAGAGAAGGTGGTGGATGTGCTTTTTCTGGATTTCAGTAAGGCTTTTCATCATGGCATTCTTCTGGAAAAGTCCAACTGTTAGAGGGAGATAGCTAGATTGGGGCATTGTGTAATCCTCAGTGGCATGAAATTTAACAAGAGCAAATGCTGGATTCTGCACCCAGGATGAAGTAACACCAGACACAGGTCTCAATGGGGAGGAGTGGCTGGAGAGCAGCCCTGAAGAGAGGGATCTGGTGCATAAAATACAGTTTAACCAGCTGGTCAAAAGGGTGATTATTCTGCTGTATTTAGCATTGGTGCAGCCTCGCCTTGAGCATTCTGTGCAGTTCTAGGCCTCACAATTTAAAAAGGAGACAATCAGAGGAGGGCAGGAAAGCTGGTGAAAGAGTTGGAAGGCATATCCTATGAGGAGCATCAAAGGACATTGTAGGTCCCTTCCAACTGAACTATTCTGTTCTGTTCTATTAGAATAGAAACCCAAAACATGCTATCATGTTTAAAGCTGTACATCCCTTCTGTTTGCTTGGGTTAACGTGACATGTGTTTGATATTTTTGCAGGTCTTATGAATCGAGACTATGAACTTGTAACAAGCAAATCAGTGAATGAAATAAATCATTACGATGGTACTGGAGCAGCAATGAGCATTGCTGCTAACAGGGTCTCATTTACATTTAATCTGACTGGACCATCACTGACGATTGACACTGCATGTTCATCTTTTCTTTTTGCTCTGCACTACGCCTTGCAAGCAATTAAATCAGGTAATGGGACTGCAGAGAAGCTGGACAATGCAATTAGGATTGCTGTTGTTTCTGTCTATCATCTTGGACATCTCAACATGAGCATGTTTCCATTTTACTCCAGGAGATTGTGAGGCAGCAATCTGTGCTGGAGTGAACTGCCTAATAGAACCCAGCACCTTTGTATCCCTAAGTAAAGCAAAAATGATCTCTCCTGAGGGAATGAGCAAACCCTTCTCCAAAAAGGCAGACGGCTATGGAAGGGGAGAAGGCTGTGGTGTTGTTTTCCTCAAGCCCCTGAAAAAGGTAAGACTGCTTGTGAAGCAGCCTAAAGTAAGACTGGTTGCTTTCCTGAATTTTGTGTCTCCAATTCTCATAGTTACTCCAGAAAAGATTTTCCAGTTCAGTCTTCAGATTAATGAAGCACTTATTAAGCATTAGGCATTTATGCGCTTCCCCTACCGCGGGGAAGGGATCACACATTTAAAAGTTAGTATTAGTATAGTTGGTCTGTTCTTTGTTTTGTTGTTATGTTTTGTTGTGTTTTCTGCTATACAGAGAAAGCATGAGATTATTAAAGATAGTTGTGCCTTTTTATGCAACAGGCAAAGGAAGACTACAGCAAAATCTGGGGTGTTATCAACATCAGTGCAGTAAATCAGAACGGTAGGTCCATTACTCCGATCACAAGACCGTCTCGGATAGAGCAAGAGAAGTTACTGCGCAGCATTTATGAAAGTCGTGTGGATCCCTCAGTTGTGCAGTACATCGAAGCACACGGCACAGGAACTGCCGCTGGAGATCCTACTGAAGCTGAAAGCCTAGGTAGTGTCGTTTGTAAAAACAGGTCTTCACAAGTTTCCACTCTGAAAATAGGTTCAGTGAAAGGAAACATTGGCCACACAGAATCAGCTGCTGGAGCAGCAGGGTTAATCAAAGTGCTTCTGATGATGCATCATGGAAAGATTGTTCCCTCCTTGCATTACTCCAAGGAGATGAGCAGCATCGATACAGAGAGATTAAATCTTGCAATTCCCACAAGCGTAGAGCCCTGGGAAGAATCCAGGGAGTACGGAAGGGTCGCTGGCATCAACTGCTTTGGATTTGGAGGAACCAATGCTCACGTTGTAGTCAGGCAGATGAAGCAGGTAGAGTCTCTTCCGGCCTTTAAGAGGCCCCTTGAATTAGTTCTTCTGTCGGCAGCATCAAGTAAGTCCCTTCAGATGACAATGGCCGACACAGCCGACCAGCTGAGCACAAGAAAGTCTGTCACCCTCCCAAGCCTGGCCTATACGTCCGCCTGCAGAAGAAGCCACGCCAGCTATAGGTACCGAAAAGCCTTTGTCACAAATTCTCTCCAGCACTTGCAGCAAGCGGTTACGTCAGCAGCGAGCACAGAACCTGCCCCGTGGAAGGTGGAACCACAGCTGGTGTTTGTGTTCTGTGGCAACGGCGTCACGCTGAAGGAGTTCAGTGAGGCCCTGCTGAGCTCAGAGCCCGTGTTCAGAGACAAGTGCAAGGAAATAGAAGCGCTTTTTCAGAAGCACGCTCCCATCAGCCTCCTGCCACCAAAAGGTCACAGCCCAAAGGATCTGCTGAATCCAGAGCTCTCCCAGCCCTTGCTTTTTACCCTGCAGGTTGCCACAGCTTCCCTTCTGAAATACTGGGGCATCAAACCAGTCTCTGCTGTTGGCCACTCGGTAGGGGAAATTGCTGCTGCGCATTTTGCTGGGTACCTTTCCCTGGCAGATGCAGTCAAAGTGATTTATCACCGGAGCCGGCTGCAGGCAAAGCCTGCCGGAGGCAGAATGTTGGTGGTTGGCAACATCCCTGTTCAAGAGATTGCTGACTGTCTGCCTCGCTACTCAGGAAAGGTGTGCATCGCAGCCTTCAACAGCCCCGTCTCCTGCACCTTGTCTGGGAATTCAGACTC